GTAGTTTAAGTAGTTAGTAGTGTAAAACTGTAAAGAGAGTGCATAGGGATCATGGACTGAAACTTGAAAGTATTGTGTTTTGACATGTTTGGTAAATTACTATGGTTTTATTATGATTATTAAAGTATTAATGTTGAAAAGCTTATAGTTTTTGGTTGTATTATTTTACTTTTGATATTCATATGGTACACAAAATACAGCTCACTATAGGTAGGTACCGTCTACTAAAATGTTAAAATACATAAATACACAATAATACAAAATTTGTAAATATTATGATAACAGGGGGTGTAGGGGGCAGAGCCCCCCACTATTAAATTCAAGTACATTTTCAGACCCCCCCCCACCATAGAAAATTCCTGAGAACGCCACTGTATTCAATATTCATACAAAATTAAACATTATTAATTATTTTTAAATTTAAATCAGTGGATATCTACGGGTCGAATATATTATGTAGGTATGCTATGCTTACACCACTATAGGCTGGCTTGAACTGTCTTATATAATGAAACGAGCTTCACACGGTTATCATATAGAGATAAATTATTTGATGATAAAGCTGATAAAAAAAATTAATTTACCTATATTATAAGCATGAATATTTTATAGATTTTTAATAGTAATCATATCGGAGCATAGCATAATTAATAATGGAGAGCCAATTATTTACTCTATCATGTTAGTGGTGCTGTCGCCCACCTTTTCCCCCACCCCATAATGACGCCCCTGGTTACAATAACTTTAAAGTACCTAATATAGTAATACTAGCTGATCCCGTGTACTTCGTTACCCGTTAAATGTACCAAATCTATATAGCTCAGACTTTGTTAAATTCGTTGTTTAATATTCAGTGTATGGTATTCAAAATTTATCTTAAATTTTCCGTTGCCCGGAATAATAATAATAATAAATTATTAATTTTTTTTATTAAATTATTATTATTAATAATGATTCTGATTCGCATTTCGCAGCAGTATATTATCAGGTTCTACCCCTTGATGTTTGTACGTAAGTGTATGATTTAACTCTAAAGTATCAAAGTTATACCAAGTTTGTTGTATTCCGCCTATGGTGGATTAATATAATCAGTTAATACAAAATACTAACCGTGTAAAACACAATATGTAAATACAAGAATTTTGCATAGTGGTGGATACGAAGGGGGGGGCTGTCTTTTTAAAGTTATATTCTATTATAATATTTGGCTAATCAAAAAGACAATTAAATTTTTGAAAATTCGCCCCCTCCTTGGGTGACTTCTGGATCCGCCACTGATTGTGCATATTATAATATGTTATAACTAAGGTTCGGATTTGAATGCAAAAGCCTCTTTTGTAATAATAATAATGGAGAAATCATTTTTATATAAAAATGCGTGTCATTTAATACGTAAGATGATGAAAGTATTTTTTTTTTGCCTTTTTCACTTATAATTGCCATTATTTTGTTTAGTTTTCAATCGATTTAATAGTTTTATACACGACATACATTATAATATAAACGATAGAGAACATTAAGATTTTCTAAGACTGAGCATTGTCGGCTGTTAATTATTTTTAATGGGTTTTATCGTCGGCGATATTTACCGATATCGCTAAATACTGTATCGACTATCGAGTATGGCCAGTTAACTTAAAGTTTATAAAAGTACCCATTACTAAATATCTATAGATAATATGTTTATAATGCGCCAGCCCGTCCCGATTACATTTTCTATGTAAGTACGCAAATATTTTAAGCCCAATCCGTTGTTACATGCGGCCCTTCAGGGATCCAAAAGCTGGTGTACTTGATAAATAATAATAGTCAATTAGAATGGTAATCAAATGTATTATATTAAACCAGACAAAACAAGCAGAATAATAGTGTTGATTGTAGTGAATTTGTAGCTCGTTCCGAAGTTGATAATCTCCGTGTAAGTCGTGTGTGATGGCTGGGCGGCTAAGCGAGACGTGTGGTGTTCTCGTCTCTGGATACATCTACTTTGGCTGTCTCGCTGTCCCCTATATATATGGTGGCGGCGTCCTTTGAAAGTGAGCGGCGCGTGTACAGTCGTCCTTGATATGGACCTCACGACTATGAAAGTGGTATTCGTAGTCGAAAACACTTTTGGGTGTGGTCGCATTCCTGGTTGTTATTTTGAGCAAATATATGATATTGCGTAATCCCATTACACCGTCAACGTTTTACCAAAGACCGTTTATCTGAGTAGGTACACGATGGTGATTATTTTTTAATACACATTAGTTAAATACACAATACACAATTAACTATTTAATGTTTTTTGTAATTGCTTTTATAAATTAATTAAATGCTGTTTTTGCCACTTTGACATTTCAAATGCTTTTTTTTTTTTACTGATTACATTGCCTTGAAATCCGAACCCTAGTATATAAATTGTCCATACAAATTGTTTAAACTAATTGATTAATTTTTATCACCGTCGGCATTGGTATAATTATTATTTAGTGTAGGATAGTCGTGATAGTGCAAGTCGCAAGATACTGTCTTGTGACGTTATCAGCAGCTGTGTCGGCAATATTGTACAATATATTATTATTATAATCGAAGCAGTCGTCGGTCAGTGCGTTCAAACTTCAAAGTCGAGAGCTGCTTTCTTACACGACAATACGACATCACGTAACGCCGCTTAGACAAATATCACGACCGTTACGATTAAATTAATTAAATCGTTCGGTTTAAACCACAATTCGGAGATATTGTACGTACGGGTTACTCGACGAACCCTTTGCGCATGAGCAACAAGACGTGTTGCGCGAAGTCGTCGGTTTCGAACGAGTAAAGCCACTAACGATCCAAGCGAATTGACATCGAACAACAATATCGTACTACAATAATATCGTATTATTATCAACATTTCGTGGCACAAAGAGAAATCACTGCGATGCGATAGCGCTGACGACCGCAGTCCGTGATTCTCGCGTCTGATTGCCCCGAGTCTCGACAAGACCGTGTTGACTTTTCGCTCGCCAAAAAATGAGTTTCGTTGAGTTAACTGTATAATATCGTGGTTTAAACCGTACGTCGGACACCGGATAGCCTTTAGACTGTTCCGGCGTACTCTGTCTTGCCGTCGAAAACACGAGTGGAAGTGGGTACACGAGTGGTAGTCTCCGTCGGCGACGATAATAATTTTCGCCCGCTCGACACCTGTTGCACGGTGCTCGCGATACGCCGACGTTTTCACGAAGGACGAACCCTATCCAAAAAGGAAGGCACAGGATCCCCGGTATTATTTGGTAAGTATAAACGTGCACTTCAATCCCCAGTACACTGTGGTACTGGGCATTTTTTACCAAGTTTTTTTTCAACTTTTGTTAGTGGTTAACCTCCTGTAAACTCTATTTGTCTTAACTCATAACAAAAGTATGTGTCATTTTATAATAAAAAAATAAAATAATTTCTGAACTAGGTAGCTATTAATATTTACTTAAGTTTTCACCCTATAATATACATATATTTATATTAGAATTCCAACGTTTTCACGGATGAAGGACGAACCCTATCCAAGAAGGAAGGCACAGGATCCGCGGTATTATTTGGGAAGTACACCGTCTACCCATAGACTTATGACTAATGGACAGTGCTTTTTTGCGTCGATTGCACTGAGCGAATTTACTCGCTTGTCGTTGGCAAACAAGATCGCTCGTGTGTGAGCGTTTAGCGACCTGTCCAATTACATTGAGCGATTAAATTGATCACCTAGCATTGATGGCAGGGCCGAGTGGAATGCTCTGTCCATTAGTTCATAGGTATATGGTTATACCGATGAGTATGGGTAGGTAAGTAAATATTATGCTATTTCACACTCTGTTGTGGACGGTGGTGAATAAATTATAAACAGCTGGTCAATTGTAAAATCGAATAATTTTTAACAGTATACTTGAAATAAACGTGAACAAGATGTAATTCCAACTGACCAATTAGTTTTTATATTTTTGAGTTCCCGTATAAGATAGTTAATATGTTATTACGAGTGTTTTTCCAATGTCTTTACCTCATAGGTACTTATAGCTAGGTACACGATTACATTTTTAGGGTATAGGTAAGACAATTTTTAACATAAACAATATTAAATTTATTTTTCATACATAATTTATGAAGTAATTCTTATAAATTATTTATATTTAATTAAGTAAATTTAACGTGCACTTCAATCCCCAGTACACTGTAGTACTGGGCATTTTTTACCTAGTTTTCTTTCAACTTTTATTAGTGGTTAACCTCCTGTAAGCTCTATTTGTCTTAACTCATAACAAAAGTATGTGTCATTTTATAATAAAAAAATAAAATAATTTCTGAACTAGGTAGCTATTAATATTTACTTAAGTATTCACTCTATAATATACATATATTTAAATTAGAATTCCTTAACATGAGCATTATATTGGTAATATTTTATAATTCTTTTTTTTTTATATTTCTTGTGATAATTTTGTTTAAATGTCCAACAAGTTCACCATACAACTTTATTACTCTTTAATTAAAATGATACCTTTACAATAAAATATAATCAGAACAGCATGTCATTTTTCACATTTTTATTGCTAAATTACTACACTGATATATTTTTAAAAAATGTTGACTGATTCGTTTTTTAAATTTTGGATTAATGCATTTATGTTATGTTTATTATAACATATTATACATAAAAATCTAAACAAAACTTAGTTTAAAATTATAAATAAGGATGTCAAGTTTAAAAAAAAAAAACAGTGTTAATTATAACAATGATATTTTAGTATATTGAGTAACCACTGTTTAAATAATAGGTGTTTTACTGTACTTAATTTTAATTTTCTGGATACCTATTAGTTTTTATGTACTTTTTTTTCAGATGAATAAAAATTGAGAAAAATAAGAATTCAATTGGGTAATTGAGCTAAATAAGTAAAAACCTGATTTTTTTTTAATTCTTGGAAAAATAATTATTGCTATATGCGAGGCTGTATGTATTAAGTTATAAAGAAAGAAAAATGAATAACAAAGATTATTCACACATTTTTGGCACAACAGAAACCAAACGTGTGTTGAGAGTTGATTATCCTATAGAAAGTTCATCATTAGTAAGACCTATACCAATAAAGAAGAATAGAGATCTTAATTTGTTACAAAATAATGAATTTGAATGGTTTGATACATCTAATGGTTTTATTCAAAATCATATTGTAGTCAATAATGCAGATCAAAATTTGTTCACTAATAACGATACTGGGCAGATAGAAAGACCTGATGATATGTCTTTCATAAAAATTGATGAAGACATTTTACAGGTAAGATAATTATTATTATTTTATTCATACCTTTGTGGTATGTTAATCTTTATTTTTTTTCCCCGATTATTATCTTATTCAGATTTAAAATGACTAGTTTGAAAATCATTTATACTTGTACATGAAAATTTTTCAAAAGTGTCGTTTCATTTCTGAAGACTAAATGTTATGAATAAGCCCTTTTACAATTTTTAACAAATTCAACAATTATTAAAGCATTTTATATAAAATTAACCCTAATAAAAAAAAAAAAAAAAATTTAAATTACTCTAATCTACTCTAATCAAATATAATTTAAGATTTATGACATTAACCAATAATCAAAAAATTATACATAATATACTCTGTACCAAACAAGAAGTCACTGCTTTGTCGAATCCAAATGAATCGCGGAGTGACGTCCGGACCACCTGGCTGGGTCTATTCGCTCTATCATTGGTCACCGTATTGACTGCCGACACTCTACCCTGTATTCCATTACTGCATTAATTCATTACATCTTGTAGCATCTGTGTAAATAAAATTTATAACACATACCTATAAATAAATTAGAGGATATAACTTTGTACAAATTTTAATATATTATTGCATTACCTAAATGTTTTTTTTTCAAATGATGGTTCATAATTTACATTATAAAGAAAATTATTATTAAATAAATAGTGCTACATTTTTAATTTTATAAAATATTTTATAGTATACGTATGGATGTTTTTTGTAAACAAATTCATCCACATAATATTATATTATGATTTCTGGATAAGTCGATTATAATTTTTTAAATATAACTGATAGTAATATTTGGACTGATTATAAATTATAATGACATTTCGATAACATTTGAAAATTAGAAAAACACTTATGAACCGTGTAGTAAGGGGCTATCGGTAATATCTAAATTTATGTGATGTTGTATTTTTTGATAATTTGTGCTGTAATAAGGAATGTCCTTTTTAGAAATTATATCTAGTCATACATCTTTAAATATTATATACCTACTTAAAAAAATTATCAAGTTACATATAGATTGTTTTTAAACTTAATTTCATATTTAATAGTTTAGTTTTAATATCCATTTGAAGTTATTCAAAAACTTCTATAAGTATTTTTCAACAATTAACTTACATTAAGAGGGCTCTACACTCGCATACATTTTCTCCATCTTACAAATTGTACAGACTACATTTAGCTCTTTTTGTTCAAAAATTAGAGTAATTGAGTTTGACCTCTCATAAAATTTAGAAGTCAGAATATTATCTAGTGAACCTCATATGTTTTTTTATATTTTAATTTTAAAGTAAGTGATCAGTGTTTTAAAATTGTAAATTGTTTGTGCATTTTAAAATAGTCATAACCTGATTTAAAATTAAAATCCAAAATATAATTTATAAGTTTCACTTATAATAATCTTATCTTTAAATTTTATAGGAGGTCAATAAATGACTCTAATTTTAAAGCTGTCAGCCAAACCTGACCAACTGAGCTTACAATTTGCTATGTAATCCTTTTGTAAGACAGTGAGCATAGATGTATTTGTATCACCCTCTTAAACCTTACTCAGTTTTAAGTTGAAAATTAAATTTTAGTTGACCTGAGGTTTCATTTCAAGATATGTTCTTATTCTCCGATATGTATGAACATTTTTGAATGCTTATGGCTAAAAATGTATTGATTTGTTGGTTTACTAATGCAGGTAGATCAATCCAATTTGCTTCACGGACCAACATTAAATGAATTAAATGCCTGTGGTGGCGATAATTTATTAGAAAACTTAAATTTAGATGATCTGTTATTACCACTTGATTCAGAAATGTCTAAAACACCTGACACATTTATTAGTCAATACTTGATGGATCATGTTGTGAATACTAGCCCTGTTAACAGACCAAGTTCTTCAAAATCTGGCTTTCAACATTCGCCAATCAGTTGCAGTTCATGTTCATCACTTTCTCCAGGTCCGACAAATTCAATAACACCACAAGAACTCTTGAAAAAAGAAACAAAATCACTGAAGTGTTTATCTTCTCCTATATTTGGAACTAGTGTTCCGGGATCAGGATTTATGATGGCTAACAAATCAAAAGAAAATCTTTCGTCATCAGCTCCAACTCATCTTGTACTTGACCAAATGTGGCAACAAAGAGAATCTCGACAGCATTTATTATCCACAGGATCATTGGCAGAAGCAGGATCTACTTCCTCGCTTTCAACTGGTTAGTTTAGAATAAACTTTAATTGTACAATTATAAAAAAAAATATCAATTTTTATTTATTTAAGGAGGTGTTTCAACTCCAGAAGCTTATGATTTGTCATTTGATGAAACAATTGGTGATTCCGATAATGATACAGAACGAGAAGAAGTTTATTCATCTAGTTGGTTTTTAATAAATATAATTATACGTTAAAAAATACAACATACCTATGTCTTATTTTTTAATTTATAGATTCAGAGGGCAGTGATTGTGGTACTACATCTACTGACTCATACATGGATAGATTTTTTGAGCATTACAATGCTCATTCTAAGGTTTCTAAAGGTCGAGGATTAGTATTAAAATGTAACTGTGGAAAAGATGTTTTTGATCCAGTATTTAGTCAAAATTGTCTAGTAAAAGGAATTAGACATTGGTAAATTGTAAACATTTGTTTATGAATTAAATTTAATATTAGTAAATATTAAAATGTTCTAGTGGTAAACCAAGAAAGGGAGAGGGTAATAACTTAAGACCAAATCCTAGACGTTTACAGTTACTTGTCAATGAATTGGATAAATGGAACAAAATGAGAACTAAAATGACACCAATCAGCGAGTTGCCATTTGATGTTAGGCAAAATGCACGTAAAGAAAAAAACAAAGTAGTATGCAGGTACATTTTATTGTTAAAAATAAGTTTTTAATTAAATTTGATTTAAACCATAATGTATGATCTCAGGTGTTATTTTATTTTATCAAAAATAAAGCTTATTCATACTACTTGTAAACGCTCAACACAATCTGCTAAGATTGTCACATACTGTGATGGACTTAAATTTTAATGATTGTGTGTATGGTATAAAAATATTTAATATATTAAAAAAATTAATTCTGTTAAAAAATGAGTTTAATCTTAATTCTTAAAACTGATAATTGTATTAATAATCTATAGTGCTACTGGCTTTAAACGGCATAATTATTTTGTGTTATATCACAAAATTGGAGTAGATTAGGATATCGACGGTGGAAAGGAAGAAGGGCGTAAGCGACATTTTATACATTTTATAGGAGAGCCAAAAAACTGTTTTTTTCTGCTTTTTTTAAATTTTGAAGCCATTTAAAATAATTTCATTGAATTTTCACCTAAACAATTGTTTTAGATAATTTTATTCTAAACAAGTTGGCAACATAATAATTTTAGAATTGTTATTTTTTTTACCTGTTATGTTAATTTATAATTTTTTTTAGGTGCTTACGCCTAACATTTTTGGTAGTATGTCGCTTACGCCTTTTGGTGCTTACGCCCTATTTTTTACTAACCTGCCCTTTGGTGGTTACACCCAGCATAGTAATAATAATAATAATAATAATAATAATAATAAATTATTATAATTTTAATTTAATCTGTTTATTTAAAAACGAAAGAAACGAAATTTTACTATAAATTTCAACAACAAATTATAAAAATCAATTAATAAGATACAAATAAAAAAAACATCAAAAGTTATAAATGAATATGATTACATACGAGTAGTTTCATATTATTGTAATAATATTATGCTTAAAAATAAAATAAGAAGCCTTAAAGTAATTTAATAAAAAAAAAATTATAAAATACGATAAAATTAAAAATCAACTATGAATAATTTGTATCACTGTTTTGTTACACCTGCAGTCTTCGCATTGCTTAACAATATTTATGATTAATTTCCAGAATGTTCCTCTGGAGTTTCTTCATCACCATTGTTGTCTTCATTGATATCATCTAAATAATCAATCACGAGTTCATTTTTATTCATGTTTAAATACTCATCATGGTATCCTGATGGTATTATACTATCACTGCATAGCTTTTTCAAATCCTTAAATTTTTGTTCCGATATTGATAATTTCGTGTCATATGCTTTTTTTGGGACATACGTAGAAATTGGATTTTGTAATGTTCTTGGATATTCATCTGCACAATAAGTATAAAAAAACTGAATAGAAACGTCACCATCTGATTCCTTCTTAAAAATTAAGTACTTAATTTTTGAAATTTTAACATTTACATTGGTTGTTTCTCTCAGAATCTTGGGAAATACCTTATCTGCACAATCTTTCCAATCTAAAAAGTCTTCAGTAAAATTATTTTCTACTTCAATAGGTCTCGGATTTGTTCTAGAATTTCGTATTATAGTGGGCCATTCACTTGGAGCCCAAACACTCTTATCTTTAACAAAGCGTTCAATTGTTGCATGTATCGAATCGACAGGCATGTATGTATGCCCGGGAATTAAAAAACTTATTTTTATTTCATTTAACGAATTAAATTTGTTTTTTAAACCATAGTATATCATATAAATCATTGCTCGATTTTTATTCTGTCCTGTACAAGAATCACTGTACAACGCAATAGATGTTATTTTATTTTCCATGTCGACTTTGTTTAAATATTTATAAATACTTGTCACTATCTCATTACTACCACGCTGACCATCCATTTCTCCCCATAGATACGCAAACGCATTTTGAGATCCAGATTCATAGAGTGTACAGTTATAAAAACTATATTTGCGGCTGTAGTATAAATTCATCACATTTGGTGCATATGGAGTATTCAGTACTTTTTGAAGATCGAAGCTAGTACAACAAAAATTTCCCATTGCTTTTGACAACTGTTGATCAAACAGAAACATTTCTTTGCACTTTTCTTTTTCTGCTTGATGTTTTTGTAAGCACTCGTGGTCTTGACTAGTAATTGGTCCCATTAAATTTTCAAATCTCATACATAATCGACATTTATCTTTTTTGGGTTTGTGGAATCCTATGTTATACTTATCATGAAATATATTTAAAAATACTCGTTTACTGACAGCATTATATCCATTTGTTGAACAAAAGTCTTTATAAATTAAATACAATCTCGAAGCATTACTTATGTCTGAAGATAAATATTTTTTGTTACTTGATGAACGACAATAATGAGAAGGGACGACAGGCAAACTTTGAATAAATTTATTTACTAAACGTAAATTATCTTCACTAGTTTTATTTTTCGGTATACCTTTTCCTCGGTTATCTTTGGGAGACGTTTTTATTGACGTCTTATTTGTTACTGTATATCTCATACATTTTTGGGACATATCTAGCGTTTTTAATAAAAATTGTTGGCAAATCTTTTTTGGTTCAGAATTATACGACAAATAATAATTAATAGTTACATTTCGACGACTTTGAACATTTTTGGTACGTTTTCTTTTTATTGCAGTTTCATTTGTACAAGATATTAAAAAATCCCGTTGCCTTTGGTAATCTTTTAACCCCCAAAAAATATGAAATATCTGTTCTCGCTCTTCCTCAGTAAATTTTTCATAACATTTGTTATTGCATTTTCCAACTTTGCATGGATTGGTTTGAACACTCTTACCAGCACCTGACACACGATTAAGTTTTTTTTACAGTTTTTGAGTTTTTTTTATTTTTTTTTTTTAAGAGACTAGTGTCTATTTGAAATGATTCTTCACTATCTATGAGCTCATGTGGAAAAGTTAACTGCTCTGGTTCAGTTGACTCGGAAACGTGTGTTTTTTCAGAGCATGCTTCATTATTATGAGGGAGGCTAGTTGAATCATAAGCTAATGCTCGAGAACAGGATGGTTTATTTTGTATATAATCAATTGAATTAGTATCACTTGTATCAATATTATTTTTAGTTCTTTCGTTCGGGGGTAGCCAATCTACAGTGTCTCTTGAAAGATCAGTAAGACTATCGATTAGTTCGTCATAGTTAATATTTATATTATTATTATCAAGAACATGATTTTTGTTGGACATAATTTCATTGAATACTTCATTGTTAAATTTAATGCTTTCTTTAAAATCTTTTTTTGGGGGGATAAATCTTCTTATAGTATTATCATTCTCTTGACCCTGATTTAGACTATTTAGAGCAGCTTTTACTAGTCGTTTACTTCTATATGACATTTTAGAAAACTACAAGTACAAAAAAAAACCCATTAGAAAATTAAAATATTTTATTACCTATAAAAATGTGTTCATTTTATTTAAAAAAATAAACGATAACCAATTATGTCATGTAAAAAAATTGTTGTAATTTCCATAGAAAATGAAAAAGGAGTAATTATAGAGACAAAAATAATTTAAAAAAATCAAAAATGAAAATATTTTTAAAAAATAAAGTAAGTCACCGAAAACTATACATTAAAATATTTTAGGAATTTGCTCTGCTGTACAAAACCATCAATATGATGATAACGACATCACGAGTATTTATCAAATAGTTTTATAATGTAACGTGTTATTTATAATTGACGGTCACAACATACTATAGCAGTATACTGTATCCTATACCTTGAATGCAATAGTATTTGCTATACATTTGCCAATTCAAAGTAACACTAAATTGACAGAATTTGTTGTAATGCTATAGCAGTCATGACCGCCAATGTGTTAATAAACATAATAATATTATTATACCTATATCAATACCTATATTTTATAATTGTAAAATAGATTGATACATACCAGATGTATTGAAATCAAATCCCATAAAATTTAATTTAAATACAAGTTCCTCACAAATTGTGAAAGTAAACAGTAAACACGTCTTGTATTAACACAATACTTATTATTATTTTGCTTGGAAATAATAATAGATAATAATAATATTATTAGATATTAATATATTATTATAACCACGGTAGATTATAATAATAATCTACCGTGATTATAACCAATCACGGTTATCTACTCGTTATTAACCATGTAACCAACAAATTAAAACCGATAATAATTAATATTAAAAATTATTAAAAACAGCTGTGGTGGTTACGCTCAAAAATATTGTTAAAAAAAATATTGTCGCTTACGCCCGCTTGGCGCTTACGCTTTAATTTGATAGATGGCGTTTACGCCTTGCAACTATCGAGTACCTTATTATCGATTATAACTTCGTCGATAATCAACATATCGATAATCGGGTGAGCACAATCGATGCAGAATTATGTCGTTTACGCCTTAATTAAAAAAACACGTTTTCGTTAAAAATGTCGCTTACGCCCTTTTTCCTTTCCACCGTCGATATGTTATATTCTGGTCTTAAATTAAAATTAATATTTCATACTAATAATTTATTTTAGAATTTTCTCTAAACACATTTATTTATTTTATACATTATTGAATTGTATAAAAGTACTTTTTATGTTAAATTTTTTATTTAGATTTTTTTATTTATTATTTAGTGCTTAGATTAGGTTTAGGGTAGGGAGTTTGTTTGATTAATATTTAATTCAAATTTTATATTTTTAGAGCATCCCGGTTGAGGAAAAGAGTTGATCATGAATCGAACAAAATAAAACTTTATGGATTAAGAATTGAACAAAGTAATTATTTCTATTAAATTAATTTAAAGTGTTACCTACTTTAATACTTTAAAATATTGTATGATAGATCCAAACATTTATGTTTATAATTGAATTAATTTTTCTTAGATTATTTAAGTAATGCTATAGCTCAAATGAAACAGTTATTTCTAAAAAAAAGTCATGGATTGTCAAATTCCAGTGAGAAAATTGTAAAAAATGCTACCAGTAAGTAATTTTGTTTTTGTATTAGTTATAATCAGGGCTCCTAAGTTCATGCCCTAAAACATGACTGAATACAGTGGCATAGCGAACTTTAAATCATATGGAAGCAGACAAATTATTTATGACTTACCCCACCCAACTCCAACTAATGTATATGATATTCTTACGCTCAAGTACGGGGGTCGGGTAGCACCCAAAATTAAGTTCAAAGACTGACCGTGTATGTGGGCTTTATGATGTTATGACCCTCCACC